GTCCGAGAATTATGCGCGCTGATAGTGATTTACAACGCAGCGGTTAAAGAAATACCACAAAACACAAATACAGAAGAAGTGCAAGAGTCCTGTTAAATATTGGAAAGTGAAATTGACGTATACATTTGACATAACAGACCAACATGGTACAAAGAATACAAGGTATGATATTGCGCAGGTTGGTCGCTACGTTACAGGTGATAACAGGCGCTATTGGTCAGCACGCTCCGCGCGCCAGTTCAAATCGTCAAGATATTGTTATAAACCTGTTTTTTTGTTTATATACCGTCATTGAATTATCGCTAAGCAAGTTACTGTGGAGCAGTGCGTAAGGAGTTGGGCTAGGAAGCGAGAGACCGGAGTTCGAATCTCGGCCGGGACATAACTTTTTATTTATTTTTTTAAATACTGTTGTATTCTATAGTTTATTTTTGTAGTATAAAAAAAGAACTATTTATTCTGTTATTTTTTCATCTCCGGTATTAATATAAATTGACTGTTGGTACAATACCTCATTTAATATAAAATAATATTCTACTTTTTGAAATGTATCAGGCCCTAATTGTACCTAAAAGTAATATATTTTTAATGATATACCATATTGTAAACTATTTAATATTTCAGTCACTTAAAAAGTTAATTTGCATTGAATAATTGCCTACCATTAAAGGAAATTTGAGCTATATAATCTTTGATGGGCATATTCTGGGTATGCAAATACTTCCTCTAAATTTTGGGTGTCGTTCAACGGATTTATTCTCAAAACCAGAAACATCTACATATAAAAAGAAAAGCACAGGTCACTAATTATAATAAACTTCACCCTTGGAATTACTTCCACTAATTATAATAAACTTCACCCTTGGAATTACTTCTATCACAATTACAATACATTCATCTGCATTGGCATTTTCTATTTTCGATGGGAAACAATAAACTTCCCAATATTTTTTAAATGATGTAACAATTCCTCTTGTGGTTACTTTTCCATAGATATCCTCAACTCTGTCCTCATGTGAATTCAGAGGCAATGAAAATGAAAATTATTTACCATAAACATCGCAAACTAAAAACCTAATAAACAATTTTATACCGAATATAGAAATAAATTCAGTATTCTTACCTATCGTCCAAATCCATGTTAATAGATAATTATTATTTTTAAATATATTTTTGGAACTGCTGGTTTTAGTAATTATTAAATTAAACGAACTAAAAAGTCTTAAAAATAAACAATTCTTAACCATAACCCCAAAAAATGCAGATCTCCTGTCAACTTTCTTTATTTTTTATTTATTCATTATTTTCCTAGTGACGTCACAGGTGGTATGCGCGAACTGAACGAAATTGGAGCCGCTATCGATCATACCTTGTATTCTTTGTACCATGACAGACCAACATGTCTACATATTCAATTGATAATAAAATGCTGCCTAGATTTGCAACCCTAAAAGAAAATAATTAATAATTATTTAAAGCATATTATTTTCAATCGTTAGCTAATAATTTTTATTAATTAATATAACTTATCCACAATCTGGCAAAGAGTGAACCATTGCAGGTAATGAAGAACGTAGGTAATGATTCCACGTACTAAATTTACCAAAAAATGCATTGCAAGTTATAAGATAATCGAGATACAAGCGGTGTCGAAAATGCATTAAACTCAAATTTGCCTTCTAGTTTAGGAATTAAGAAGGCGAGTACAAATCTATGTGTAGAATATTTAGTTTCATAAAAAAGTATCAAAGTAAAATGAAAACTGCATCATTGTATCTCTATATACTCATAGCGGAGAAATTCCATAAAACACACGAAAATGGGATACACTGTACAGATGTGATGCGCAGTAGTGAACGCAACTTCTACCGGCAGCCAGACGGCCCGCACGATGTTCAAGAGAGCATAGCAAAAGATATACCGTATGATCGAGAAAAAACGGCGTCAGCGATGGCTATGGAATGAAGATCGCTGTCATTTTATATGTAAATTTATATGGGAAATGTCATTGATGATTCCCATTAATTGATCATTTTCCAGCCAACTGGACGCCGTTTTTTTTTCGATTATACGGTACGATAGTGGCAAGCGAAATCTTGGGTCGGCCTTTACATGTCTAGGAGTGAATCGTTATGGCGATCTAGTATAAGTTATTGGAGAGAGCAAAAATACGAAGTATTTGTTATATAACCACTTAATCGACGCTAGATTTTATGCGCGTTCTTTATTCAGACATCTCTTATTTTACTGAGCATATTGACCGTACTCTTCGTGCATACGAAAATCGGCACCTAAGGCTAGAAATACCGACCCTAGTATTATAGAACCAGCTTTCTGAGATGTCTAAAAATGCATATAGATATAAGAATATTTATAGTTCTTGCAATATTCCAATATAAATGATTAGCCATCGTCAGTAATTTTATTATTTGCATTTCTGATATAATTAAAAAATTAAAATAAACAAATAGTGTACAGGACGTATTGGAAATAAAAATGCGAAATTTACCGAATTTTTCAAATTTACCTTGATTTTTATTGAACTCAAAAAAATACACACATTTTTTTTATTCTAAACTGTGAATTAAAAAAAAAAGATAAAAACCATTTTTACTTAATAAAGGGTATGGCCTCCTCTACTGTTCATTACAGCCCTACATCGTCTATCCATGCTCCTGATCGGGTTGTCGATCTCTTCTTGAGGTACAGCCTGCCACGCTGCGTTCACGGCCCGAACCAGATCCCTACGAGTTTCACGAGGCATACCCATTCTCAAAATTCTTCTTTGGAGCGAGTCCCATACGTGCTCGATGGGGTTGAGGTCAGGAGATTGTGCCGGCCAGGGTAAGATGTTTAATTGATGAGCATTGATAAACTCACTTACCACTCTGGCTGTATGAGGCCGTGCATTGTGATGCATGAAAATAAAGTTTCTCCCAAAATCATTGGCATATGGTAACACGACAGGCTCAAGAATTAAATCACGATATGTGATTCCTGTTAGAAACCTTTCAAGAAAAACGAAATCGGTTTTTCGGCCTAACTGGACTCCTCCCCAAACCATAACTGTTCCACCTTGATAAGGGTGCACTTCCTAAACATGATCCAACAGAATAAGATTTCCCGGTTCTCTCCATACCCTAAGCCTTCTCGAATCCGGATGAATTCCAAAGCGTAACTCATTTGTGAAGAGAACATTGGCCCATTGTTCATTCGACCACTGAACATGATCTTGGGTCCACAAATATCGTACCTCTCGTTAAGGGTTGAGCTCTCCAGGGGCGTCTGCTTCTTAAGTTGACCTCTCTTAATCTATTGCGAACAGTGTCAGGACTAACGGTTACATTATGTGTTTCCTGGAGAATTAAACTAAGCTCTGGTGCTGTAAGAGTCGGTCGGCGTCGAGTATTTAATTGTAAAAAATGATCTTGCTGAGGGGTAGTAACGCGATGTCGCTCTGTGTGCCTTTCAACAACATCACCACTTTCACGCTAGCGTGCACTTAATCGCGATATTACACTTTGCGTTGTATTTAATGCTCTAGCTACGTCGATTTGGTGCATTCCAGCTTCGAGCATACCCATGGCCCTTAGCATTTCGTCTCTGTTAAGATGTCTACGCTCCATAATGTCGTTTAATACTAAACAGAGTTATTTGAATGAATTCTCGCCAGTTATCATAAAAACATAGTCAGTACAGGTTAAATTCGAACAATTGATGCTAGGTGCTTTTTATACATTTGACAAGAAATGCACAAACACTTCTGCAAATATCCCAAATTTAGAAATAACTAGTGTGACTACTTCGTTTCAATCAAAGTAGAAAGAATCGGCCTACAAATATGTGGTTGTTTATTCAAAACATTTATTTTTAACTTTAATAAAATGATATCCCTAGATTTTTCCGGTATGTGTACATTAAAGATCCTTTAAATTAGGCTTGTAATAGTGTTGTTTATCACACACATTCACATAGAACTAGAAAATACTTAACCTATATAATAGATAATATATCTATCTCTTCCTCGGTAATTACAGGATTTTAATAAAAAAAATCCAGAGGCTAGATTTAATGATTAAAAATGTACTCCCAACATTAATTTTAGATAATCCTAAAATATCCCAAGCTTTTTATTATTTTTCTTACTTTTTTTACTTTTGAAAAATTAACACTAAGTAGACCTATAATTATACGACATTTTTTTTTCTTCTTGCAGCATAAAATAATAAACTAAAATTCAACTTTGGTTAAAGTTGTGTTAATACAGTTTTTAGTGTCTCTATCAGTTTTAACAGCTATGAAGAGTTCCATATTAATCACTAAATTGTTTATGCAGTTATCTGGAATGTGGCCAACTGAATTTATTTTACCTAAAAGTAGATGGTTTTACAAACCTTACAGAGTATACGCCCAACTAATGTTCATATGGTTCGCTCTTTCCTTAACTATAGAATTTATCAGAGTTATTACCCATCCAAATCCGTCTGATAGAATTAGCTCAGGGGCTACAGTAATGCTGGCTGCAGTGATGATCGCTGTGAAATCTTTCATATACCGTAAAAACAAGATTCCCGAAATGTACAAAGATTTTTTTGAACTGGAAAACGAAATGAAAGAAACCCTGGACGAAGATATTCTACAGATATACAAAAAATTTCATAAGTATAATTGGTTGGTTAATATATGTGTTTTGTCAAATACTTGCATATTAACCCTAGCTTTAATACTGAAGGGTTTTTCAATTATATCAGAAATAGGATTTGAAAATTTCGATTTTGAAGAAAAAGGAGTTTTGTACGATCTATATTTTCCCTTTTCGAGAAACAACCATAGAATTTTTGTTATAGTTTTTAATGTTTATATTTGCTTGATGGGACTAATTTTCAATATTGCTTCACAAACCTCGCTTTATTCGTTGATGAACTTGGCATCTTTTAAACTGGCTATTCTCGGAGTTCGTATTAATAAGTATCACTTGTTTATAGAGACGTTTGGAAATAGTGAAGTGTTAACCATCAAACACTTTATTGTAGAACACCAAGATCTGATCAAGTAAGTATTTACTCGTAGAAATGTGTTCTCTGACCATAAAGTATACATAATTAGTAACTTGTTTCGCACTTATGGTGTAAGATATACGCTAGAAATATACTAATTTTCTAACTATAGGCATTGGTACAAATTTTTTATTTACTCACTCTGTATATTTTAAAATACGCCGAAGCAGATGCTGTTTCAAACTATATTAGGGTTTCCTATATCTATCTGGTTCATATTTGGAATAAAGAGGGATTTTCAATAAAATGGCAACCAGAGGGCTGATTTCGTCAAGGCAACTTTCTAGTGACAGTTAATAGTTATTTTCAAAATCTAAATTAGTTTATGGACTTTTAAATTTATAGAAATTTACTTTTATTTAATTTACCTGCAATAGTTTAATAAATAAGTAGTTATTTTTGTAACGAGAAAAACGAAAAAACTGTTCTTTTTTTTATTTTACTTTGATTTATAATAGATATATGGATTTTCTATAAAAGAGCCAATTACTGTAAGTTCATTTTTTCACTTACAACGACAGGTTTACCTAATAGGTTTTTCATAAACTGCACTGTTGTCAAGAAAATTCCTATTTGGATTTTCTTGATTTGCTAATTTGGACAACGAGCAATTCTCCTCACAAAATTGTATTTAAAATATCGAAGTTTTTATGTCCTCCTTAAAACCATTAAACCTAATAAACATTTTATTTCAGATTTGTTGGTATAATGAACGAATCAGTTAAATACGTGACATTAATGGAATACTTACTAAATTCTTTTAGTGTAGCTTCAGTAATGTTTCAGCTTATAACGGTAAATTTATAATTATTATTTATCATATTCCGATTATAATTATTAATATAGAGTATGTTCCGGATAGTTGTTGCAAGAGGAAAAAAAAAAAAAAAAGTTCTAAAAATCAAAACGCGTTTCTTTGATTGTTATTAATAGAATTTTAATTAACGTAATATTTTTTTGCTGTTTTAAAATGTTAAAAAAACACAAAATCTATTTAGTTCAATGCTACGAAAAAGGTTGCCATAGTTGACCACCTAAGTAGCATTTTCACGACTTGCGACCGACCACATGTTTACTAAACACAACGTTGGATTAGTTACAAAAAATAGTTAGCTCCGTACCTTGGGTATTAAAATAAATGTAAACGTTGTTGTAACGTTGTGCCGACGTTGCACTAGTGCTACAACAAAGTAAAAGCTTCAGCGACGTCGAATAAACGTTGTCTTGTAACCTTTTTTGCTTAAGTGATCTTTGGGTGATTCGGACATCGTAGTTACAATGTGGGGCAATAAAGAGTTTTCCGACGTCAATTTCAGAACCTATTCCAACGTTATGCAAACGTCGTGTGTTTTACTAATTCCAACGTTGTTTAGATTTCCTTATTCTTACGTTGGTAGGACGTCGAGCTACTACCTTTTTGCAACTGTATTAAACCATAACCTTAAATCTTAAATTTTCACGTCGTTGTTCCGTATATAAAATTTTCAGTGCTGTTTTTGTTTTTATAAAAAAAAACTTAATTAAGATGGGACGTAAGAAAGGCACATATAAAACTAAATTTAAATTATACATCGACATATTACCGATACTTTATCCACTCCCTCTTTTATTTAGAATATAGAGGGCGGCACAAGCTAGACTCTAGGATGACTAAATTAGGCAATCTTGCGACTAGTATACTACCTGTTAAGGCTGAACTGCGACTTTATTAGTCCAGTATGCAACTACTTGAACTACTCCATCTTAATCTCCAAAACAACAAAGTGAAAGCCGCCATGTTCTTGAATAAGAAAATTTTCGTTCCTGAAATAGCAATTCCTGCTTTTTGAATACATTAACTTGAAATATTTGACCCTAAACAACACGCGGAAACTATTTTTTCGACTGCGAATAAATTCTTCTCATTTTACTAAAAAAAAATTCAAGAAATTTTTTAAAACTCTTTAATTTTAAGGCCCATTAGTATTTTTCAAAGTAGAAACAATACATTTATCAATAAAGTTGTTTGCGTTTAACTTTTTTGCCTTGGGTAACGAGTTACAGAGTTGGTTAAAGTGTTTCAATAATTATGATCTTCAAACATCCTCCACACTTAAATACTTTTGTTCTGTTTTCCTTTACTGCCATCTGGCATATGTCTCTAAATCATAAACTAAATCATAAAAATAATATTTTTACTATAATTATCCCAATTTAAGATAAAACGCGACTTAGACGCCATATTATTATAGTTTTGTATTTCTGTGAATTAGGATTTTAAACAACGTTGCAGTTTGTAGTAAATTAGGCTGCTAGCCAACGTCGGTATCCAACGTCGTTTCGACCCAAAAATTATTCTCCAAACTAGTGCACACTAGGGTTGGCACGAGGTTGTGCCGACGTTGCACCCCGACGTTTGGTCGCGTGACACAACGTTGTCCCGATGTCCAAATGCTGCTTGGCATTTTCAGCAATATGCAAGGAAAACATCATCCCATTAAGCATGTGATTACCTACAATTTTTATCTGAAATCTTTTTGACTAAAATGGATTATAATGGAATTAGGGCGCATTTTTAAAATAGCCCAAATTTGTTGTTTTTTTGAAAAATAAGTCATTTTTGAATCATAAGCCATAAACCTTTTCAAAAATCGAAGACGAATATGTTTTTCCCCAGAAAACTGCAATTTTTTCCCATTTGACCGACTCTATAATTCCAGTAGTTTCCGAGATACCCATAGAGAATATCGTAAAAAATAATTTTATCTCTATTGTTTTGACGCGTCTGTCTTCTAAACGCGACCGTGTGCCAAAGTTTTCTGTTTACCATACAAATGGCAAAGAAATAATCGAATTATGTGCAAATAATTATTCAGGTATCTGATGACGATATTTAACATGTTTTTCAAAACATTTTTGGGTCGTCTGTTCCAAAAATATGACTACGTGCCGCGGCAGACATGCCTTGCGTTTTACTAGAGTTTTCCATTTCGTTGGTACACTTTTTTTTTGTTGTAATAATGAGGTAAGTTAATATCAATTTTTGACAGCTGTATACCGCAACAGTGACCGCGAAGAACGGTTTTATATTAGGTTAGTTATTATTAAACCTCTGGTAACTTATCAGGCAGTTCATTTTACTCCCAGCTCTTGGATTATGAAAATTGATAATAACTATCTATCAAAGAACGCAATCAAAAGTATATTACCAGAAAAAACGTCTTTTGATTTTTTGGACTTCAATCTTTTTAAGAAAAAAATTAATCGTATTTTAATGATTTTCTTAATTTTCTCTATAACACTATGGAAAATTGCATAAAAAAAGTATAAACGGGATTAACCATTTTAGAAGAAGCAAACATTTTTATGAAGAAAATGTATTAATAATAAATAAGCGTTATTCCCATACAGCACATCAAATCACCTTTACGAGGTGTTTACATTATTAGACGTAGACATAGGGTGACACAATTCCTCCGATGTAAATATGCTACGTTTACACATTGTAGTTCAACACGTATGCACAAAGGTTAAACGTCCGCCTCACAATGTAGCCACAGTATAGCATTTACGTATACACAAAGTAAGGGATACACAGTGTGCCGTAGGATACACAGTGCTTGTGTATTACGTTTAAACTCTGTTTACACATTGCAGTTGTAACTACCTCGTGTATACGTATGTATTTTGCTTCGTATATACATCTTGTGCTAGATAACACTACTTCTTATAAACGAATTTAGGAAATAATACAAGTTTTGATGCCTAACTTTTCGTTCTTTTTAAGAAATATTTATTCAATGACACCAATTATATCTTTTTAGAACGAAAATTAGGAAGGCAAAACTTTGTATTTTCCAAAAGTATCTCGATCGTAAGTTCAAGAGAAGTAGCCTTAAAATTGTTCCATTTTTGTTTTGTATTAAATGTACCACTTTTCTTCCATAAAATGGATTAAGTTGTTAAAAAATAAAATTCCTATATTTCTTTATATCATAAAACGCAATATCGCAAATAACACAATAATAATAATTATTTACACTGCAGAAAACAGAAGTAAGAAAACACTGTAAAAGAACAGAATTTGTATAAAATGTATTAAACATATAAGTACCTAGTATAACAACATATTAAAATAGTAAACACTGGTATATCGCCAAGATTTGGTGGACCTCGTTTAGTAATTTTTTTCTCCTCTTTTCCCTCCAAGCAGTTGGTTTGTTAGCATACTCATTCAACGACCACTCTGTTGGACTTTGTTGTATTTTATTGCCAGATTAACAATCTCACCCTTAAATTTTATATGAAACTGATTATTGAATATTAAACATATCTGTGTATATGGATCCATCAATAACTTACAGAATATCAGTGTAAGAAGTTCTTTGAAGTGTTTAAATCTTTCTTTCTCTGGTCCATTTAGATTTTTATTATTTCCAAATTAAAAAAAATTATATTGCAGAGCAGCAGCTAACCTCTTTATCATTATACGAGAATATCTGGAGTTTTCATTCATTGGAGTCAGAATTTGGTAAATTGGCTATCGAGTAAGGGAAGAGTCGCTGCTATAATATTAATAATACTCTTAGGAAGGTATAACAAGGTAATTAAAAACTTGTGCTTACCTTAAAATCTCTTTTAAACTACACACAAACAGAACATTTATATAGAGCTTCCGAATGATAAAACAATAATGGCTACTAACACATACCACTCCTAGAAAGGAGAAAGGAGAGAAGACACATAAGATACACTTGGTCGGTGTATCTACGCTGAGGCTACGCGCGCGTGCGCACACCTTCATTTCATGCTAGAATGTAGACACAACAGTAAACTATTACAAAGTGTCTATATAGATATTTGTATTATGTGTATACGTCACATTTTTACATGGTAATTACTATAAACACAACTATGATACGAAGTATCACACATACATATGACTTATACATTGTATGTCTTATATACCGACGCGCGACGTCAGATTTCATCATTTTAATAATTATTTGTTACGTTACAAAAAACTCTTTAGAATCTTGAGTGCATACGGTATACAACTAGTAAACACTGTATAACACATTTCTCTCAATATAAACCTGCATGTATCTCATATGTATAAGTTAGAACTAGATGAACACTTAGGTTCACTTTAACATATTTTGTTCCTCATGTGTCTCCCTTGTAGAAACGTAATTTCATTTGGACGTGCTGTATGGGTTCCTTCTTGTAAAGACAATCCGGGGACAGACTGTACTCAGACAATAAAGTAACTTTCACAAATATTTTTTTATTTTTAGATAAAATCTGCAGTAAAATTTATGTTTGCATTTCTATTTATTTGTATGTTAGTATGTCAAATATTTATATTTGCTTGGACAGCTAATGAAATTAAAGAACAAGTAAGTGAAAAAAAACTGAATGAGTATGAAAATACTATTAAATATCTATTCATAATATGTTGATGATTATAGAGTATTATGGATAGTATATAGATTAAATTTCCAAGAAAAAACATCCAGAACAGATCCAGTGATCGAAATCAAGCAAAAAATATATATTTTTTTTTAAATTTTCAAATTAAAATAACCCGTTTATTTTAGACTTATTTGACAAACGGTAAATAGCAAATATGTTTCTTTTATCGAGATCTACCAGCCCTGAAAATATTTGTACTTATTGCCCAAGTAGCATTTTCACGACTTGCGGCCACATGTTTACTGAACACAACGTTGGATTAGTTACAAAAACTAGTTAGCTCCGTACCTTGGGTATTAAAATAAATATAAACGTTGTTGTAACGTTGCGCCGAGGTTGAACTAGTACTACAACAAAGTAAAAGCTTCTGCGACGTCGAATAAACGTTGTCTTGTAACCTTTTTTGCTTAAGTGATCTTTAGGTGGTGATTCGGACAACGTAGTTACAATGTTGGGCAATAAAGAGTTTTCCGACGTCACTTTCAGGACCTATTCCAACGTTATGCAAACGTCGTCTGTTTTACAAATTCCAACGTTGTTTAGATTTCCATATTCTTACGTTGGTAGGACGTCGAGTCACTACCTTTTTGCAACTGTATTGAACCATAACCTTAAATCTTAAATTTTCACTTTATTGTTCTGTTCAGTCAGACAGTTCAGTGCTGTTTTTGTTTTTATAAAAAAAAACTTAATTAAAATGGGACATAAGAAAGGTACATATAAAACTAAATTTAAATATACATCGACATATTACCGATACTTTATCCATTCCTTTAGAGGTTGGCACAAGCTAGACTGTAGGATGACTAAATTAGGCAATCTTGCGACTAGTATACTACCTGTTAAGGCTGAACTGCGACTTTATTAGTCCAGTATGCGACTACTCGAACTACACCATCTTAATCTCCAAAACAACAATGTAAAAGTCGCCATGTTGTTGAATAAGAAAACGTTTCGTTCTTAAAATAGCGATTCTTGCTTTTTGAATATATTCACTTGATATATTTGACCCTAAACAACACGCGGAAACAATTTTTTCAATTGCGAATAAATTATTATCATTTTACTAAAAAAAAATCAAGAAATTTTTTAAAACTTCTTTAACTTTAAGGCCCATTAGTATTGTTCAAAGTATAAACAATATATTTATCAATAAAGTTGTTTGCGTTTAACTTTTTTGCCTTGGATAACGAGTTACAGAGTCGGTTAAAGTGTTTCAATAATTATGATCTTCAAACGTCCTCCACACTTAAATACTTTTGTTTTGTTTTCCTTTACTGCCATCTGGCATATGTCTCTAACTAAATCATAAAAATAGTATTTTTACTATAATTATCCCAATTTAGGATAAAACGCGACTTAGACGCCATATTATTATAGTTTTGTATTTCTGCGAATTAGGATTTTAAACAACGTTGCAGTTTGTACTAAATTAGGCTGCTAGCCAACGTCGGTATCCAACGTCGTTTCGACCCAAAAATTATTCTCCAAACTAGTGCACACTAGGGTTGGCACGAGGTTGTCCCGACGCCCAAATGCTGCTTGGGAAGACTCACCCGTATGTATAATGTATATGTTTTTAGAGTATTGCTCTTTCCGATTATATCTACAAGAGTCCATGGTATAATTCCAGTGAGGAAGTAAAGAAATTGCTAGCAATCATGATGATACGAGCTCAAAAACCGTTGGTAGTGACATTGGGCCCTTTCAGTCCTATGACCAGCAATACTGCCTTAACAGTAAGAAACAATACCCTATGAGGGAAAATACTATTTTCGTTCTTTCAAATCAAACTTCAAATACTTTTATACATGATGACTGATAAAACGCAAAATAATATTTTTAGCACTATAACAAAACTTAAATATTCTAATAGTAAAGAAGAGATGGAAGGAGAAGAATCTCTTTAGATTGTTTGTTGCTTTTAGACCGCGCCCAAAAAAATTTTGCATCATTTTACATTAGAATCTTCATTAATTTGCTATTATTTTATTTTAGACTATTAAAGCTGCTTACTCATATGCAACAGTGATGTTAAATGGTTACAAAGAAGAATAAAAACGGCCACACAAATCACTTTCTGAAAAAATATTATTAAATAGGTACAAATAGGTATAATGATATTATAGTAGTATAGAAATAAATGTGCATACGTATTATAATTGGTGTTATTTTGAAAATTCCACACCTGTAATTTCGAACCAATCAAAACGTATTTTTTTCACAAATCACCATGGCAACGGATAAATTTTAGTGAACATTTTTTCCTTGTGGGCACCCAACAGCGAATTATATTGGAAATTTTTTGACGTTTATAATGACAGAATATCTTTTTGAGAGTCTGGTTTTTATTTGTTTACATGATAATTTTGATACATTTCAATTACAAAGCTGAGATGTTTTCTATATTTTTTGGACACCTCCTTTCTTCTTAATGACGAAAATACAGGACTTGGAATGGACTGAATTAAATGTCTATGTCTATGAAATATATATAATATTTAGACACTATTTTATTCACCTTTTTTTCATTTAGCACTTTGAATTTTTTCACTTTCACTCTCCTTGTAGTCTTCAGAGTTCTTTTTTTGCATGTTGAACGCATAGTCTTCAAGAATAAGCGCCAGTTCTTCCACAGGTATATCCGCTCTGTCGAAATCATACGATTTTTGTCCCAAAAAAAAATACGAGAATGTCCCAAAAAATATTAACGCGCATGCTAACCTTTCGTAAAAACACGACTCATTGCTGATTTTGGTTATATACAGTAAACTAACCATCATCGTAATGTAGGCTACTAGCTCGTCGAAAAGTTGTATAGTTTTCGTAAAATTTAAGAATGGTTAGTATTCTAAATAAAAAGAAAAACAACGCTTCATGGTACAAAAAGCCAAAACAGCTTCATCGACAAAGCATTCACAAAACAAAAAAGCACAAAAACAAATATACAAATATTAAAAAAAATGTCATACAATACAAATCAATTCAAAAAAATTTACGTCATAAAATTACAAATAAAACATATGTGGACGTTGCAGAACACAGGCGTATCTAGAAAATTTTACAAAAGGAAAACTGTAAATGGATAAAATCATGTTATATATCAAAAAATCAAGAGTTATAAAATATTAAATATTAAATACTAGACCTTTAACCAGTGTGTGAGATGATCAAAATTTTAAAATTCACAATTGTTCGTGATTAAACATCAACAAAAAAGTCGTTTACCGCATATAGGGCTCTCTCCAGTAAGTATGATTTCAGAGCTTTGCGAAATGCGGGAAAGAATGAAAGTGACTTGATATTCGAAGGCAAATGATTGTACATTTTCTTGGCATTGTACAGTATTGAGCCCTTAACTAGTTCTGAGCTCGGTGTTGGCAGATAAATATCGTGCTCCGCATTCCTAAGTGGATAGTTGTGAGAAGGCCTTTCCGGAATAGAGAATATGTGCTTGCGGATTAAGCAAACGGATTCAAAAATGAATAAGGAAGGAAGAGTCAGTATTTTGCAATTTTTTAAGAAATTCTGGCAGTGAGTTCTACTGTTTAGTCCCAATAAGTATCGAACTGCTCTCTTTTGAAGTTTGAAAATACGATCAAATTTTGTCGCGCAACAAGTACCCCAGAATGGAAGGGCATAACGAAGATGCGACTCAAAAAGGTTGATAAAATTCTAGGGTCTTCCATAGCACAGTCTTAAAGAATATCATACAAACATGATTAATTATTTCTAACTGAGAAAATTGTTTTTTTAAATGCTATCATTTATTTTCTATATCTATTGTTTTCTCTTTCTTGTATTTAGTACAAAAAAATGTTATATTTTTATTCACTTCAAAAAATTCTGGGTTGCGCTAAATAAAAATGAATATCCACGGGAATTATTGCTAATAAATATATTATTTCCAATTTTCCAAATATATAAAATAAATTATCGTTCAATTAATTATTTTAATTACCCGCTATTAATCTTTTCGAAAATTGCCTTAACAATGTATAATAATACATAATCTTATAGTTACTTTCTTTTATTGTTACTTAGGTTACAATTAAATACATTTTAGCTAATTACAATCAAATTAATTAAGTAATTGTTTCTTTTTTCCCGAAGGAAGTTTTTTCAGAAAACATAAAGAGTTGTGTTTGTAACACCAAACGCCAACATGACAAATTCATTAATTCAAACAAAATTGTTTATGATAATGAGTGGCATGTGGTCCAGTGACTTTTTTTCAGTTCAAAAAAGATTATTTTACTTACCTTACAAGTATTTAGCTCAACTACAATTTCACATATTAACTTTACTCGAGATCATCGAATTCGGAAGAATATTAAACAGTTCCGATTCAACTGACCGACTAAGCACTAGTGGATCGGTCATGTTATCCAGTGTAATAGTAACAACTAAGTGTTTAATTTATCAGAAAAATGGTATAAATTCTATGTTAGAAGATGTAATCAAGCTGGAGAAAAGAATTGCTGAAAATAATGATCCAGATGTGAAAAAAATATTGAGGAAATATTATTCTTATAACTCCTTAGTTAACAAAGCTGTTATAGCTTACACTATATCTACTTGGGCAGCTATGGTAACTACAGCGTTCATGTCTTTTGCGAAAATTGGTATCAAGGACTTTGATATGGAAAATAAAGCTGTACTATATGAAATGTATTTACCAATACAAAAAAGCAACCATAAAACATTTATAGTTGTATTAAATGTCTGTTTTTGTATTCTACCACCAATAGTTAGTATCGCATCGCAAATCTCATTATATTCGCTTATAAACTTTGCTTCATTGAAAATATCAGTAGTTGGTGTCATGATTAAAAAATATCACAAAATAGCAGAAGAATCCAATCAAGATGCAATATCAGTTATAAAATATTGCGTCTCTGAACACCAAGAAGCAATAAGGTAATGTAATGAATAAACTAGAAAGAATTTTAAAAGAGTAAGTTTAAAATTTCAGGTTTGTTAACAATCTTAATGAGGGAGCAAAATATGCAACGCTGATAGAATTTTTGTTGACGTCTTTTAATGTTGCATCAGTGATGATTAAGTTAATAACGGTAATAGTACCTTAATTTAAATATACTGTGCTCAACCCATTATTAAAATTTTTTTTGTATGAAATTATAAAGTATTCGTAACAAATATATTTTTTAGGCCAGTGATATTTCAAATATGCTTTTCGCATTTATCTTCGCTTGGTTGCTGATTTTTCAAATGTTTATATTTGCCTGGACAGCGCACACCATTAAAGAACAAGTAAATATATTCAGTGGTGCAAAATCAAGACTTAAATTAACAGTTATTGATTTTTAAGAGTCTCTTAATAGCTGATAGTATTTACGAAAGTCTTTGGTACGAGTCGAATAAGGAAATCAAAAATATACTACTGGTAATGATAGCGAGGGCACACAAACCTTTGGCGTTAACTATTGGGCCATTCTCGGAGATGACAACGGAAAGTGTTTTATTGGTTAGTATGTTAATAAAATGTATAATTTCCTTTAACAAAAAATGCATATAAAAATATGCTGCATTCATAATGAAAAATATCGAGGGCTACAAGTACAATTTTGGCCAAATTGAGATGGATTGATATATTTTTATTATTTTCATATAATTAGACAGTAAAATGGAAAAATAATCATTCTTCTTCGTAAAAACTTCACCCTAATTAGCTTGACGAGGTTTTTATTGGTTTCAGTGAAATTAATTTTTCGTAAATACAAGGTTCTACCTTTTAGCCCTCGATATGTAAAAGTTTATTTGTTAAATGTAAAATAAAACAACTACCAAATATAAAAAAGAATATGATATACACTATCCAGAAAGAGTTTTAAATAAGCATTAAATTTTGAGGTGATATATTTCAATCTCAGGAATACACCAATTTTTTTCACAAAAAAGTGAAAATGTTGAATTTTTGAAAAAATTGTTTAATTTTCAGTTAAAAAAATGATAATGGCAACACAAGTAATGAATGTACAGGGTGGATCAAATTCGACGCTTTAAAATGGAAACACCCTTTTCTATAGGAGATAGACAAAAACTAATATCGGTGTCTGGAGCTCAATTTTTGCCAAAAACATGATGGTGAAAACTGCATATCGATATCTGTTACCGTTTCGGAGTTACGGGGTGTTTTTCAAAAATATACGTTTTTAACAAATCGCTGTAACTTTTGTGCTATGGAAAATTTTGTATTTTTATGAAAATATTTACAAAGCACCTTTTTACGTAGAATTTAATGGTTTAAGTATAATTTTTTTAAAATTAATAATTTAAGAATTATCAACAGAAAATTTGATTTTTTATATGGGATACCCTGAATATTTTTAGTTTATTGAAAATAATTTAAAATTACCTTTCCAAAAATATAACATACTTGATATTTTGCTCGATTCCTCTTCGAGATATAGAGTATATAAAAATTTGCCCGCTTTAAATAAGTAGGCTTTGAACGGCACCGGCTCTCATGCAAAAAATTCTAGCTGTGAGCATCAATTAAAACGAAAATAATATTTGCTATGAGAGATGCTCATTTCGCTATGCTCATTTTTGAAAAACACCCCGTAACTCCGAAACGGTAACAGATATTGATGTGCGGTTTTCACCATCATTTTTTTGATGAAAATTGAGCTCCAGACACCGATATTAGTTTTCGTCTATCTCCTATAGAAAAGGATGTTTCCATTTAAAAGCGTCGGATTTGACTCACCCTGTACAAGAAGTTGGTAACCAAAAAAAAATCTGTGGTTCTTAAAACTTTAAACAATCATTTTCTTTTTAAATTTTAAGTAAAATAATTCAATTATTATGGACTTATTTGAAAAACGGTAAAGAGAAAACGTTTTTTTTATCGAGATCTATCGGCCGTGAAAATATGTGCCCTAAAAAATGTGTATATCCATATAAAAATTTTAAAAAATCTAATTAATTTTATTATTTAGAATAAACGGATCACATCCCAATATATTATGACAAACTAAAAATTTTTTTTTAAAAGATATGTATGTTGTTTTATTAGACGTTTTGGTTTATTG